AAATAATCAACATCACTAGTAGTAAGGGAGATGAAAATTAAAAAAAAAAACAAAACAAAACAATGGAATACCACTTCACCCTAATGAGAATGGTACATCTTAAAACAACTAGCAACAACAAATGTTGGTGAGGATGTGGAGAAAAAGGAACTCTGCTGCACTACTGGTGGGGCTGCAAATTAGTACAACCACTATGGAAAACTGTTTGGAGGTTTCTCAAACTGCTAAAAAGGGAGCTTCCATATGATCCAGCAATCCCACTTCTAGGGATATACCCAAAAGGCACAAAACACTGATTCAAAAAGACTCCTGCACCCCCATGTTTATTGCTGCTTTATTTATAAGAGGGAAGACATGGAATCAATCCAAATGCCCAAAAGTGGATGACTGAATTAAAAAGATGTGGTACTATACACAACAGAATATTACTCAGCAGTCAAAAAGATAAACACATGCCTTTTGCAGCAACATGAATGGAGATGGAAGGGATCATGCTTAATTCAATAAGCCAGAAAGAAAAGGAGAAGAACAGGATGGTTTTGCTCATAACGAGAGCATAAAGGACCAAGGCAGAGGAAATAATAATAATGAACAAATATATATCAGACATTTTATTATGGGGGTAGAGTGGGGAATAGGATCAAAATTGGGGGTGGAGGGAGTGCACAGGATTATGGTGATGGCATACAGGTGATTTGGTGATGGGAAGTCCACGGGGATTACAATTGAGATGGGAAAAGGCACAAAATAATATAAAAATAAGCTATTATAATAAAATAAATAAAAACAAATATGCCCCCAGTTAGCACTTCATACACACTATCTGATTTTTAGCAACAAATTACTGGTAAGAAATGACCATGTGTACTGTTTAAAAACAGAGTCCTTGTATGTTTCTGTTATTGTAAACCAAAAGACTTCTAACTAAGCCATGTGAGAATTATCATTATTTTATGAGAAAAAATGGCCTGTATTAGACGACTCTTAATTTAAAAAAAAGTAGTATTTTAAGATTCAACCTAAGAGTATAAACTTCTATCTTAAATTTAG